TTTAATTTTAGTTATCTCATCCATGAAGTAGTAATGATTATAATCCCACTTTTGAGGTTTGTTATGAGTGTCCAATGACAAACTGTTATTTAATATTCCCTAATTTAAAGGCTTATTAATTTAAAGATTGATCTAAAAACTTACAATATTTTACTCAAAATCTAGTGTTCCTTTGGCTTAAAACCTATTTTATAAAAAATATATTTACATTAGTGAGCCTTTTAAAATCCTGTTTTAGAATTAGAAGATAAATAGATACAACTGATTGTGTAATTTCTTTAACTTTTAAAATTTTCAGTTACTTTTTTAATGTTTTTCTACTTGCCTCACAAATAATTGTTCTCCAGTGAATGTCATATAATATTGAAACAGGAACTGTGGGTGCTTCTAATTAAAATAGTTGCCTTTGGTACCTTTGTTATTGAATTTTGAGCTGGTAAAAACCCCAGGTGGTTATATAAAATTACAACAAATGTTCATTACTTCATTTTTATTTCATGAGACTAGGAAAGAGAAATCCAAACACACTCTGCTAAAATTGTAAGTCCTTTTTCAAAATTGAGATGCCTTGCATTTGTAAAAGGGATACTTTGTATTTCTGCTAATCATGAAGCTATTAAAGTTCATGATAACTCTTAGTAGCTAATATCAATCAGTTATGTTAAAATAGCCTACAATATTATAATGAATCAAAAGATATATCTCAACCTAAAGAATAAGCCTGGAGAATACTAGTATGACCCTCATCTGGTATATTTATAAGATCAAAGGTCAATTTACCTAACTCATAAATATTTTACTTTGTCCATGCAAGAGTATTTTTTTATTAATTTAATTAGAGTACCCAGGGACTTCTCAAATAAAGAGGGGAGGGCAAGATAATATTTTAATCGCTTACTCTGTGTAATGGTAAGACTTTAGAAACTGATCTCCTAGGAGACTTTTTTTAAAAATAGCATGGACTATAAATCAGATCTCTTTTTATAATGACTTTTTAAATAACTTGTACATTATCATCAATGATCTGTGCATTTGCAACACCTGGTGTGTAACACTACTTTCTTTAAACTTTTACTATGTGGTTTATGATGTTTTATTAGGAAATGTATGTTTCTATAAAACATTACTTAATGCTTTATATGAGGAAAGACAATTTGAAGGCTGGCAGAGAGATGCTGATATTTTATGGGTGACAGCGCAGTATGTGTGATCATTATTGCTGTTCTCATTTTAGGAGGGGAGTTGATTTCCGTTATAGGTACATGGTTGAATAATCTCATCTCGAACACAGGCAAGTGTTCATTGCAAGTTGTGTAATTCTTCATTTTTCCAGTAGGAATTGTACGTACATCATGTGCCCTGAGTTAATGCATATATGATATACTGCTACACTGGTAACTGTGTTCACAGGGCGGTATAAACACACACACATGCAGTTTTGTTGTTTGAAATTTGCAAATTGATCTCCTGTCATGCCTCCCTTCTTTTCCTTGCTGGCAAGGGAGTATTGCAAGGATTTATAATTATATAATTATAACTATTTTATTTTATATTTATTCTTGTGACTGAATATTTTTGAATTATAATGGATTGGGGAAATTACTATTATTTTCATTGTATACTTTTTGGGAAACAAACACAGAGACCTCCAGTTGAACCATAGGTGAGATGCTTTTTATCATTGCCAAAATTGTGACTTTTAGTCACTTAATTCCTCCACGGTCTCCAGATCTATTAGCTTTGCTCTGTCTTTTTTAAGTTTTTTGTTGTTGTTGTTTTGTATTGTTTTTTTTTGTTTTTATCCAGCCTAGAACACATTACCAACTTGTCATCTGAATTTCATCTGAATCCGCAGTTCTACCACTCCCTTCATCTTTTATCTCCACACGTGTTCTACTAACTTTAAACTCAATTGTCTATTTTCTTTATCAAGTATTTTTGAGGGCCTACTCTGAACCATGCACTATATAGGAAACAAAATATATATCACCCCAAACATAGATATAAACATTTTAACATTTTGGAATATTTCCTCCAGTTCTTACTTGTATATATCTAGTTACATAATATGTACTAGTATGTATAACAACACATACACATATACACATATATACTGTTGAACATGTGGGTTAGTGCATGCTATATGGTAGTCCATCAATAAATATTGCATTTATGAAATGTGGTACGTATGCTTTCTCCCATTCACCAGCTTTTTGATCATCATATTGGTACTTTTTGATAAATAGAAATCCTTTATTTGAATTCAGCTCTGTTTCCAGTGTTTCTCCTTATGGTTATCTATACTAATAATAGAGGAATATTCAAATTGTCTAGGACACTGTCACAGTAACAGTAACAACCAAACAGCAGGCTGTGTGGGGTGACCAGGCCAGCACGGGGGGCAGTTGGGGGCAACCAGGCCAGCAGGGAGTAAAGGTGACCAGACTGGCAGGGGGAGGCAGTTAGGGGTGACCAGGCTGGCAGAAGGGGGCAGTTGGGGCAACCAGGCCACCAGGGGGGGGGAAGTTAGGGGTGATCAGGCTGGCAGGGGCGGCAGTTAGGGGCAATCAGGCAGGTAGGCAGGTGAGCAGTTAGGAGCCAGCAGTCCCGGATTGTGAGAGGGATGTCTGACTGCCGGTTTAGGCCCGATCCTGGGGACATCCCCCGAGGGGTCTCGGATTGGTGCAGGTTGGACTGAGGGGACCCTCTCCCATCATGCACAAATTTCGTGTACAGTGCCTCTAGTTTTTATTCATTATTTAAAGAAACTTTCTAATTTCTACATTATAAAAGTATTGTTATATTATCTATAATAATAAAAGCATAATATGCTAATTAGATTGGACAGCCAAATGACCTTAGGATGTCTTTCTGGATGTCCTTCCAGATTACTTTCTAGATGAAGCTGGGGTTGCGAGGGCTGAGGCAAGCCACCATGACTGCGAGGGAAGAGCACTTTGCATGAATTTCGTGCATTGGGCCTCTAGTCTTAGATAAGCTTCATTGGTTTACCTTCCACATTCTTGGTACAATCTACCTAGAATTTATTATTTTTAAATGCAGTGAAATAGATATCAATTTTTTCTTATTTTCACACATGACTATCTAATTTAGTCTGCACTGAAAATATTGTCCTTTCCTTCACTGCTCTGATGAGCCAAACTTCATAAATCATGTGTTCAAATATATGTGGATTTCTTTCAGAACTATTCTATCCATTTCTCTGGCCCATTTGTCTGTCTTTACTCCAATACCACACTGTCTTGATTATTCTACCTTCATAATGAATCTTGACATCTGATAGAATAATATTGGCTATGCTTAGTCCTTGGTATTTCTTTCTTTCTTAGAAATTAAAAATATTTTAAATTACAGTTGACATTAAATATTATATTAATTTCAGGTATACAGTATAGTGTTTATACATTTATATAACTTATGAGGTGACCCCCTCAATGAGTCTAGTACATACTTGATAACATAATAGTTATTCTGTTTGAAGCTTGTCCATTTATGGGAAAAATGTCTATTAAAATTGTGCTGAATCTCAGTGAATCTTTAAGTCAATGAATTATTTGTATGTTTTCTTTGTTCTTGGTATCCCTGGATATCTGGAATATTAAGACACAAGGAACAAAGTTGGAAGTGCTTACTCACTGAGACACAATTCAGAAAAATTAATGTAAAAATCCTCTCTTAAAAATGGTCTTAATTTATATCCTCTGTGGTTTGAAGGATGCTAAACTCTTAACCACAAATCACTGCTACCATTTATTAAATATATAAGATATACCAGGTACTGTGTCAGATGTTCCACTTATTTTATTTCTAATTTCTATGAAAACCATACATGGAACTATCCCATTTTGCAAATGAAGAAACTATGTTCTGAGAGGTTAAATAACCTACCCAGTGTTTGCCCACATAGTAAATGATGAGGCCAGATGCTAAACCCTGTATTTCTTTTGCTCACAGTCATATTCCCAGTGCCTTGGACAGGCAAGACTGGAAAGTTTAAATCAATAAATATATGGTGATTGAATGAATACTTCTGTCTTTCTATTTCCTATTAATGACTCACATTTCATTAATCAAATTATAAAACTTTCAAAATGAAAAGAGTTTTAATAACTATCAAGTTTAAACTTTATACTATCTAGCATCATATTTAGATGAGAAAGTGGTAAGAAATCTAATTAATCAAAGAAAGAATGCCAGAATGCCCAAATTGTGAAGAATGTATCATAGAAATGTATACTTGAAACCTATATAATCTTATTAACCAATGTCACTCTAATAAATTTAAACTTTTAAGAAAGTTGTGTATTGCCAAGGATGTCTTAAAATTTTATTTTCTATTTTTCTGAATTGACAATTAAAGTAGGGGCATAAACACTATCCTGTATGGCAAGATTACATTGATATTTAATTGTTTCCACCATTATTTCCTTCTTTAATTTGGAGCTAGGAAAGAAAAGACACACTAAAATTATCTACCAACTTAGTAAAACTGACCTAAATTAACAGAGAATAAATTTGAACCTGACAGCCTTTATATCTATGAGAAGAACCCCAGGCCAGTTTCCATTCTGTTTTTTTTAATGCTTTATTTATCAATACATGTATTTATTTATTGTAATGCCCTTTTTTAAGGTATTCAGTGCTTCAGGGTCTCATTTTAACTTACATGAAAAGAAGCTCTATAAAGCTATTCAGAGTATTGGCAGTATCATTGTAAAAAAAATCAACCAAGTTATTACAGATTAGACCTGGTAATTTCAGCCTTTACCATAATCTGCACACATTGCACCAATTGATACATGGATTCAAAATCTAAATAGAAGAATTATTTTTGCTGAAGGTTATGAGTCATCATTATGCTATAAAACATTGTTATATTCAGGAAAAACTGTAGAATGATAAAATATGATAAATGACAAACTATATTTTGTGATTTTCTGTTTTCTTTTTATCTTATAAACACATCATATTTTCCCTAGAAATACCACAGATGGCTGGTACCTGTATGCTGATAGCTCAAATGGAAAATTTGGTGACATGGCTGACATCCTCACTCCTGTTATTTCACGCACGGGACCAAAATGTACCCTGGTGTTCTGGACTTATATGAATGGTGCCACTGTTGGCTCTCTCCAGGTATTGCTTAGATTATAGCATTTTTAAAATTTGTTATATAAAAATTCATAATGTATAATTTATTGTTATTAAAATGTAGTCTAATAAATGAAAATGGACAATTATCAATACTTCAACATGGTATGATTGGAAAAATACTTTAGCAGAATTGGACCTGCATGGCTAGTAGGATATATATTTTTTTACTGTTGAATTTATGATTATGGCCTTTATTCTGAGTTTACAGCTTCTGTGTTATACTTGAAATATTTCATTTAGATTTCAGTAACAATGTTCAGAGAATAGTACAAATGACTACACACTTTAGTAAAAACTGAATGTGCATCCTTCATGTTGTTATTTATAATAGTGGTGCTCATTCTCCAGGAGTCTTTTTCATATTGTTTCTTTGTAAAAAAGATTACATTGTTTCAAACTCACAAAAGGTTGCCAGAATCTCACAGACAATATACCCTTGCTCAAAGATCTTATTTTTTGTCCATTATCCCAGGAGCATCTTTTATAGGAAAAAAAAATCAGTTTAATACAGAATCAGATATCACACCTAGTTGTTATTTCTTCTTAGTTTCTTTCGAACTGGAATGATTACTCAATTTTCCTGAGATTTTTATGAGACTGATATTTTAAAAATTGTAATTCAATTATTTTGTAATGTTCCTCAATTTGGATTTGTTGAATGTTAAAAGCTTTTTTTCTCCTTTAACATCACTAATATTGCATTCCATTGGTTAGTACATGATGTCAATCAGTCTCAGTACTTCTGTTCCCTTTGTTATCAATAATTATTTTGTGAAGAACTATTTTGAGAGTACGTAAAATCCTGACCTGGATTCAATTTTGCCCACTAGTTTTTGCATTCTTTAGTATTTTTAATGGAATTAATTTTACTATGATGATTACCTAATTGTGATTTTCCAACTCCATTATTTTGTCTATATCTATAGGTTGATATTATTTTGGAAGAACAAAAAAACCCTCAAAATGTTTTCTTTCCATTTTTAAATCCATTTATTGAACTATATCAGTGTGGATTCATGGATCCTATTATATTCAATTTCTTATCTTTTGCTTATTTGCTGGTTTTTAAATTGTCACAGATTTGGTCATTGGAGTCCCTTTAAGCTGACTTGTATGTTTCCTTGACAAGCTCTTCCGTCTTTGAGTATTTCTTTTCATTATGGACAAAAAGACGTTCTAGAGTCATCTTATTTTTACACTGTTCCATCCTTGGAGTTAACTATTTCTCCGTGGAGCCTGGGTTTCTTTCAGAAAACTAAGTTGTACAGGCTAACCAGAGAGAGGTTCTGGAATCTGAATGCACATCCTTAGAACCTGTCTTACCATATTGGAAATGCCTTATTTAATATACAGCTTGTATGTAATACGTATAGATACATCATTTACATAGAAGCCAACTCAGTTTTTTGAAGCATCTATATTTTTACTCAGTTTAATAGCTTATATAAAATTTCCCAGAAAGCCACGTCTGAAAAAATAAATTCCAGCATTTCTGAACTGTTTACTGTGAGCAGTTTTAGATCAGAGATATATCCCTAAAGGCAGCCATAGATAAGGACTCTCCCTGTGTTGAATACCATTAATTTATTTACAAAGAAGTCTGTGTTTAGCACATTTGCAAGGAGATTACACTTGGGTTATCTACTTTCTTTTTCTCAATAAAGACAGAGAAATATAATGCAGACCAGCTGTTTAACTACTTCTTTCCCAGTAACTTGATTGTAATTTTAATATTAGGTGTTTGCACCTTCCCCAATTTTATTACTGTCTTATTCTAGGCTTTTCCTGGCCATATTAAACACTTATTTTTCCAAATAAAATTTTAGATAAACATATTATTTCAAAACTGCTGTTTTCATTGGAAACACTTTTAAGTTTATAGATGAATTTTAGAAGAATTGTCTTCTTTATTATAGATGAGACTTCTTACCAAAAACAATTTAAAAGTAAACTTGTTTGTATACCAGTATATGTATGTGTGCATGTTTAACAATCTGAAAGTACTGTATTCTAATAGTCTTGTGGATTGAGGTTGCAATTTATTATTTGTTTTACATTGATTTTTAAAAATTATCTTTAGGCAAAACAATACGATTTATTACAAGTTTTTAACTAGAAAAACGAGAATTATTTACCCACTATATTTTATAATTGAGATGATCTAAAATATGCTTTCATTTTTTAAAGATAATATTTTGTATTAGTAGATGCATAACTATCAAATAGTTTAAATAGTAATACATCTGATCCCTATTTTGGTACATGGCTGAATAACACTACATGTTGCATTACTATGTTCATGAATACATTTTTCTTAGTGATTTGTATATAGAATAATATTCACACAAAGATCTACTCCCAATATATTCTTTTTAGTATCCACAAAAATGATTTTTTAAGAAATTATGTTTTCTTGGTTTCAATAACATGATGAATTTTATAGACTGAGAATTTAGTGATATTTTTGCTAGGCACATATTATTTAGTAAGTCAAGACTCTAAAAGCTCTACAGCCATTTGAACTTTTATTTTATTTTTTAAAGATAATGAAACCACTAAAAATTACCTTCACTTAAAAAAGTCAAAATCATCACAAACCCTTCTAATTAATTCCTTGATTTGTATACATCCTATTTTTCAAAAGTATTATTATAAAACTATAGGCCTGATGCACGAAATTCGTGCAAGGGGCTCAGCCTGCAGCCCGGCTTCGTCCAGAAGGTCCTCCGGATAGTTGTTCTGCTGTTCGCTCTAATTAGCATATTAGCTCCTTATTATACAGAATGATTTTAAAAACTACCTGAGCCCATTCTTTTAGAATGTGGACTTGGTTCTGGTTTCCGGAGTTTTTTAATTTCTTCTTTATTGATTAAAAAATTACATGTCTCCTTTCCTCCCCCCATTGACCTCTCCCCAACCACTCCCACCCCCCAGCGCATACCCTCACACCCCTAGTGTCTGTGTTCATTAGTTATGCTTATATGCATGCATACAAGTCCTTTGGTTGATCTCTTAAACCTTCAGTTGCTCACTTGATGACTCATTTTGTATCATTCTCAAAGAGGAGCCTGATAATTTGTCTGCTGAGACTAATCTGAATTTTCCCTTAGAATGAGGATATAGTACTGTGATGAAAATGTAGTTTCAAGGCTGTGGTATAGAGAGATCTTACTAGCGCAGCATGAATAGGTATGTGCTCATATCACCCACGTGTGTTGTTAAAATTAATTGAGCTCCCACTGTAATACTGTCACTGTCACAACTGAACCTGAGAAGATGAAGATCAATCTCAAAAGAGTATTTTAGTAAGTAATTTGTGCTTTTTTCAACAATATGAATGTTATTTAATATGTAAAATTCCAGTTGTTACTGCTGTCAGATTTTTTTTTTCTTAAAGCTAAGGTAGGTCCTGGCTGGGTAGCTCAGTTGGTTAGAGTGTCATCCATATACCCCTATCCTGTAGGTTCAATCCCTGCTCAGGTCACACCAATGAATGCATAAATAAGTGGAACAACGAATCATTGTTTCTCTCTCTCTCTCTCTCTCTCCCTCCCTCCCTCCCTCTCTCCCTTCCGCCTTCCCTCCCTCTTTCTTTCTCTCTCTCCCTTCTTCTCTCTTTCAATAAATTAATTAATTAATTAAATTTTTTTTAAAAAGCTAACATAGAGTTCTTAGCTAAATGATGCCCAGATTTCTTTGGACTTGAATGACAGGAAATCATGCTCACTTTTATTACACAAAGCTTGTGAGGTGCCCTGGGACATAGTGCTGTATAGAAAACAAAGATGTCTAATGAAAACTGTCTCAGCTTTTCTATCAGGGACTTCATGTTGATATTAAAATAAAGTAAAAACTTGGAAAATTCTACATATTTAAAATTTATCACGGTAAAATATTTCAGCACTTCATACTTGATTTATCTCTGCAGGTACTGAGCAAAAAAGACAATGTTACCTCTAAATTGTGGGCTCAAAGTGGACAGCAAGGTGCACAGTGGAAAAAAGTAGAACTATTTTTAGGCATTCATTCACAAATACAGGTTTGTAATCCAAGTACTTGATTTTCTTCTTTAATCCTAGTTTATTTTCTTCATTCATAGTCTTGTCCTCCCATTACAATTCTAATGTGTTTTATGAATACATATAGCATTTTCCATAGGAAATTAAAATTTCAGAATGTTCTTATTTCTCCAGTTAGACAAACATGCTTCTGGGAACATTTAATTTTAATGACAATTCTACTCCATTCCACAACCAGTCTCCCATTTGTAAAGAACACCTCCCTCTATTTATAAATACGCTTATTCTAAGAGACTATAGAGTGAGTACATTAATTTTTTCAAAATTTGATTGAAAGGGCATATTTTTTAAAGCATATTGTATTGTTGAACCTTATTAGAGATAATAGATTCACTTAATTCTAAAATATTTTGGAGAGAAACATAATTGTGTGATGTATTTATGTTTACTTAGATCATAATACTATTTGGAGGATAAGATATATGTAAAACAATTAAAGAAAAGAACATAGATTAAAATGTTTAAAGTGAAAATAATTATGTGCCAAGATATTTGGTATGGATTTTATTTTTTATGAATTAACAAGAAAACAAGAGCTCCATGAATGTGTGTGTATGGTTTAAAATTTTATTTTTTGGCAGAATGGGGGTTTTCTTAGAAGATGAGGCAAATATCTATTAGCCTTAACTGCTCAGGGCTTAATTCTACGAATTTAGAATCACTTATTTCTGGATAGAAGATATATTTAATAATGATTACATTTCCAATCTTCTGTATATGCAGTAGAAGTGGCCAATTCTGCTGTTAATATTCAGTGACTGTTATCTACAATCGTCTGATAGATCAGCCCCTCTCAGCTCCTGTGGAAGCACAGGCTAGACACAGCTGTATAAAGGGATTGATACAGCATTATCCCCAATTTCTTGGAAAGATAGGTGTAATAAATCCCATGTATGTTTGGCCTCACTGGAATCTAGTTTTCTAATGGGTCATTTATAGATAATTTAGGAAATTAGTAAGAAATAAGTTCAACCTGAAGAAGTAAATATTAGAAAGCAATTTAATGGCCTTGCACATCCTGAAATATATTATTAAGTGATTCTGCCTTTTAACCTCCATGATCTTTTAACTGAGGCAAGAAGAAGCCTCAGCAACAACATGTAAAAGATTTCATTGCTGCTAGACATAGGCTTCCATTGAGGGAATGAAATCTTAACTAGTTTTATGTAAGTAGAATATTTGTATGGCAATATCATGTCAAAAAAAAAACAATAAAGGGGATGTAATCAAGATGAATCACATACTAATTTAGCCTTTCCAAAATTAAATATTTCACAGATTGAAATTTATTGTTTAAATATTTTTGTGTGTGGTCCAATCAGTTATTCAGTAAAAACTTATTAGCACCTACTATGTGCAAAGCAAAATACTATGCAGTGGAACTAGAGTGTGAGCTGGCATATTGTCCATGATTCTTTTATGTTTATGATATCATTTCATTTAGTCTCAGAAAGATGAGTGGCTCTAATTCTTGAGTAAAAGTATAAGATAATTTTAGAAATTACATGCTGATTCAACACTGGGTAGTTCTCAGAGTTTTGTTTGGTAACCTACACTCTGATTTAAACAGAATCTTTAATTATAATAATTTTTACAACTAGAGCAATCACATACATAACACTTACTAAATGCTAAGTACTATTCTATGAATTTAAAAATACTTCTTTAGTTTTCACAATAACTGTATGAGGTACATACTATTATTACCGCATTTTTATAGATTAGAATACAGAAATACCTAGAAGTTAAGTAACCTGCTCTAGTTATATAACCACAAAACAGCAGAGGCAAACTTTAAACATAGGCAAGTCATCTGCAAGTCCATAATCCAACTGCTATGCTATATTGTATTCCAAATTTAAAAAAATAATTGATCCTGCTTTCATTCTACCAAAAACTATATCATAATTGCTCTTTTTAAAAAAGTTTAATCACATTTAATAATAAAGTCTGTGGAATCTTAACCAACAGTGTATGGAGCATTGTGATATAATTGATGATTTGATCATTTGTACATGGCAGGCAACTGAGATTGGATAGTAGATAAACAAGTTAATGTAATAGTAATTGAGTTATCTGTTTTCTTATTCACAGAACATTGCATCACGTATTTAAATGTTTAGATGTATCCAGATACTAGAGCACCTTTTTCAGGTTTCTAGGGTTCTATTTACCTTTTAAAAAGTTGTAGTCATTATTATTTTTCCAGTTTTAACACCTTTTAATCACTTCCAAGCTCTTAATAAATCTTATAAATTTATTTTTTCTTAGCACATTTGCTCTGAAGAAAAACAATTTAACCCCTTTATGTAAATTTATATAGGAATTTACATATAAATTGTATTTATTTATTTATATAATGAGAGACACTTGCTTTTCAACTATTCTATCCACTCATTTTAAGAGGAAAGCACCTAGCTTTTCACACAGTAGTATAGAAGCACAACATGTCTTAAACAACAACAACAAAAATTATAATAATCTTTTCAAGAAAAATAATTGTATATAAAACAATAAATATTTTGTGTAAAATCACTGAGGTAACTCTGTATTTCTTGTTAACTAATTTTTAATTGTTCTAAATTTACTTTAGAATACAGGACTATTTCTTATGTTAACACACAAATCCATATTTAGCCTGCAGAGAAAACTCTGAATTAGTTTCACTTAGAAATTTGACACTAAACAATCTGTGACTTTTTATGTTCTATGAAACTATGTTCATTATTATTCTAAGCAGTGGTCATGTCATAAGCTGAAGATAGCCTTTCTGAAAACGATAGTGACTCCTGTTATTTTTCATCACTTCTAGTTCTATTGCAGTCCACATAAGTGGGCGCTCACTACCAAACAATGACACACATGACAATTGTGTTCATCACATACATTAATCAAAGGCAAATCAAAATAATGTGAGTTCCAAACATGTGGCCAATAAAAAAAACCTCATGTTATTGAGATTTGATATCTTGGGGTGAACAGATCTGAGGAATGGGAAGAATTGGGCAAAATAGAGTAAAGGATGTGCTTGCATCTCCTTTCTCTTGGTATATCCTGTGCTTGGACCGGCCTCCTGCTTCCATGTGTGATGAGGCTGTAAGAAATGCACAGGGCTCGTTTGGGATCCGGGAGCTGCAGAGGCAGCAATGATGGGTTGGTGACTCCTGCCAGAGTTCTATGCCACCTACCCCCCAAATCAACACAGGAGGCAGTGGTGTTGGTGATGCCACTCCCACATTCTTAAGTGTTGAGGACGGTACAAATCTAAACGATCCCCAAGTTTCTTGGGTCAGTTTCATTATGCGACGTTTTTATCAGAGTCAAGTGTTGTATTTAGTGGTTCTCCAAGTTTTGCATATGATGGACAGCCAAACTGAAACTGATTTTCTTCCTTCTTCCCTTAATCAATCTCTCTCTCTCTCTCTCTCTCTCTCTCTTCCTTCCTCACTCCCTCCCTTTAGATTATCTTCAGGGCAAAACGCAGCGTCAGTTACATGGGAGATGTAGCAGTGGATGACATTACCTTTCAAGATTGCTCTCCCCTCCTCAGCCCAGACAGGAAGTGCACTGCTCAAGAGTTCATGTGTGCTAACAAGCACTGCATTGCACAGGACAAGCTGTGTGATTTTGTGAATGATTGCACTGATAATTCAGATGAGACTACCTTCATTTGCAGTAAGTAAAAGTGTTCTGTTTCTAACTTTTGCCTTTATCTCCCACAATCTTACTCAATTCCATCTATTAATTGCTGAACATACAGAGTATGTATATAGCTCAGCAGCTGAGGCAGTTAAGGTCAATTAGAAAAAATATGTGCACCCCTATGTTCATAGCAGCACAATTTATAATAGCTAAAATTTGGAAACAGCCCAAGTGTTCATCAGTAGATGAGTGGATAAAAAGCTGTGGTATATTTACACAATGGAATATTATGCAGCTATAAAAAAGAATGATCCCTTACCCTTTGAGACAGCATGGAGGGACCTGGAGAGCATTACGCTAAGTGAAATAAGCCAGTCAGAGAAAGACAGGTATCATATGATCTCACTTATATATGGAATCTAATGAACAAAATAAACTGATAAACAAAATAGATCCAGAGACATGGAAGCATAAAACAGTCTGAGGAATCTCAGAGGGAAGGTGGAGGTGGGTGGATGGGCAGGAAGAGATCAACCAAAGAACTTATATACATATATGTATAACCGTATTGCAGACAATAGTGTGGTGAAGGCCTAGGTGTGTGTGTACTGGATACGGTCAATGGTGGAAAAAAGGGGGACATCTGTAATACTTTCAACAATATAGATAAATTTTTAAAAATAAATACATTACTTTTTTTTCCTCTCAACACCTAATTTAGAACCGGGAATCGCTTAAAACTAGATGACGGATTGGTGTGTGTGTGTGTGTGTGTGTGTGTGTGTGTGTGTGAAGGAATTGGAGATAAATTGGAAAACACAGAAGGGAAGCAAGTATTTTCCATGTAAAATAAATTTTTGAAAACAAACACACACACACACACACACACACACACACACACACGCACACACAGTAAAACATCCATCAAAACTTATTCATGCAGGGTTATCAAGCCTCTATGCTTGGATGCATTTCAGAGAGTTGTCATTCATTCATGTAAATTATGAGATGTGGTCAGTTGTGAAAAAACCAAAAATGAATGACCAGATATTACATAAAAAAGGCAAAGTGGTCTCCTAAAGGAGATACATATCAACTATGTAATATTGTTTTAGGAGATTGATTTATAATAAACAACACCTATTAAAATATCCTTAGCTCAATGGGCCATATATGCTCATTCAGGTAAATCTGTAAAATTGTACAATGTAGCCCAGTTGTTGCCTCATTTCATTGCAAATGAGGTGAATACAAATGATCAAAATGAAGTTTGACAAAGTATTTCACTCTACTAGTAATGATTTCTGTGCTAGAATATTACAGTTTGCCCCTTTTTGATCTCTTGAAACCAAATCTGGTATATTAAGAATAACTTCAGTATAAAGAGACCTCACAGTTATATAAAACTTTTAACCTTCAAAGCCCTTTTATATACTAATCTCCACAGAATCTTCACAGCAGCCCTGAGGGGTAATTGGGACATATTTTATTAGTGCATTCCACAGAAGTCATGAACAGCAGTGCTTAAGATTTTGTCAAAGTTCATCATACTGGTATTGACAGAGTGGATCCTAGAACCCATGTACTTTAATTTATGAACCACTATTTTGCCCAAGCTACCATACTACTGCTGTGTAACACTGAATCTTAAAAAAAATTACAGATTACAGATCCTATTGATATCATATAATTATTTGTTTCTTCTGTTGTGGATTCTTTCTTATAATATACACTAGAGGCCCGGTGCATGAAATTTGTGCTGGGGGGGGGGGGTGGGGGGGGCGGGCTCACCTGCCTGCCTGCCTGCCTGATCTCCCCTAACTCCTCTGCCTGCCAGCCTGATCACCCCTAACTGCTCTCCCCTGCCACCTGATCACCCCTAACTGCTCTCTCCTGCTGGCCTAATTGCCCCTAACCACCTCTGCCTTGGCCCCCGCCACCATGGCTTTGTCTGGAAGGAAGGCAGGACGACTGTAAGATGTCCAGTCGACCTGGTCTAATTAGCATATTTCCCTTTTATTAGTATAGATTTTTATCATATATGAACTGAGCAAAAATGTTTGGCAAATCTCAAATTCTGTATTAATATTAATCTCTACCTCATGAGTATTTTCTGATGTATTTATAGTTATTTTCTGCATCAAATGTTTTAAAACTCTTCATTGCCATTTTCATGTGAATATCACACAAATCCACTAGGTTATCAATGAAACAGAACAGATTATGCTTTTTTTGGGTCATGTTGCAAATGTATCTTTTCCAAGATTCAATTTAATGCAATTTTTTTTAGTACTTAAATTATCAAGTAATTTCTGACTAAATTTTTCTTGAACTCTTTGTATTTAGGTTCTAACATTGTGGAAATTTCTATGAATCCTCTGTGTTTGGGAAAGGATTGTGGTTTACTAAGAGGGACAAGAATGTATTGAAATTTGCTGTTTTGGTAGTTGTTTTGTATGGAAAATAAAGGCAAAAGTAATCATAAGCCTTTGGAGGGAAGGTTGTGCTAGAGGTGTTTTTTAGTGAAATGATTGCCAAAATACTTAAGTTTGAGTGGGCCTACTTATATCAGCAATACTAAAGCAAGAAAGCTGACTTAGTTCTAGATGTTACATAGAAAGAAGAAAACTTTTTCAGCTTCTTCAAACAAATAAACTAACAAAAAATATGCAAGAAACTCTAACCCATATTTTTATATTGGTTCTCATTACATGATAATGAGTTCTTTTTACGTGGCATTGCTTATTTTTATTACGTATTTAAAATTTTTAACTATCCCATTCTACTGGTCTTAAATATTATGTTTTAATTATAAATGGTAATATCTGCTATCTGACTTATGAGTGCTGTTATTTATCCTGTGTATACTATAAATATAAGAGCTTTAATTAGATCCAGAAGAATAGGAAGAAAAAAAATTTAAATCACCATAGGAACTGTTTTCAGAAGTTTGGCTGACAACTAACCAAGCATTTAGGTTTAAGTTCCACAGTCTTTGGATTTTTGGTTTTTCATTTGTTTGTTTTCTTGAGAATTCTAAGTGAAGACTGGACATGAATCACAATTCTAAGAAAACTTCTGAAATATCATTAGGTAGAAAAATGCCAGGTAGGAATAACAGAAATAATTTAAAAACTCAACTATTTTGAAAGGTGTAGACTACCTCTGGTAAAGAAGAAAATAATCCTTTGTAAACAAAAGTAACTGCTGCTTTAATTTTCACATATTAATGTAGATTCTGAAAGTAAAATCTAGAAGAAAAATTAGAATATTATTTATTACTTGGTAATATAAATACCATGTCTAAAATATATGATATAGCCAAAGAAGAAAGTGATTTCTATATCTGAGAACTCTAAAATCTAATTTGAACATATCTTTGCCATGGTATAGAGGTTTCTTTGGAAAATAACCCTATTTTTGTTTTTTTGTATGTTCTAATGAGCATATTTATTGTTGATACACAATTAGTAGTATCTCAGGCATACTCAAAGTAATTTAATTCACTGTGATTAGTGAGGATGCTGGATATTTGATCAGCATAATTGGTAAGTAATCTGAACTTAATGGGCAAATGTAATACTGCAGTACCAATTGTAGATATCTATTGTTTTTAAGCACACACAGAACATTTACCCAAAAAAGTGTGTATAATTAAAGCATTGAGCAAATTTAAATAATTTCAGTGGGTTAAAGTAACAGATTATCTCTTTTGAATTACACTGGAAATCAATTATTAGACAAATGCTAGAAAACTGCTATTGGGAAGGAAAAAGACAGACACAGTTAGTAACTCATGCCCCCCTAAAAATCACAATAAAATTAGAATAAGTTTTAATAATAATGCATAAAATCCGCTGGGATTTAGGTAAGTGAATACTTAGAGAAAAATGTATAGACTAAATTTTTATATTAGAAGCTATCTAATATTGCAAGTTAATGGAATAGAACACAAATCTAAGATAGAGAGTATTTGCAAAGACTGATAAAATTTTCAAAACCCTGTCAAGAATGATCAAGAGAAATAAGACAGAAATATAAAATTAACTTAACATATTTATTGAAAAGTTATGTGTCAAGCAGTGTTTGTGTAGTATGCATCAATAAATAAACAGGCAGAAATCACATTCCTCATAATCTTGTGTTAAACAGATGTAATCTCTGTCTCTACACACACACAAAAATATATACTAGAGGCCGGGTGCACGAAATTTGTGCACTGAGTGGGGCGTCCCTAAACCGGCCTGTGCCCTCTTGCAGCCCAAGAGCCCTCGGAGGATGTCTGACTGTGGACAATCTTAACGCTGCTGCAGAGGCAGGAGAGGCTGTGCTCACCAGCCATGAGCCTGGCTTCTGGCTGAGCAGTCCTCCCCCTGACCACCAGGGGACAGCTCCTGCACTGAGCATCTGCCCCTTGTGGTCAGTGCACATCATAGCAACCAGTTGTTCTGCCATTGGTTGATTTGCATATTAGGGTTTTATTATATAGGATATACAGAATATATATATATA